ACTAGAATTGCTTTTCTGTTTGCATCCAGTTTACCATTAAAATTATTTATGTTATTTGTCTCAGTCGCTAAAGCATAATTATTAAAGCTGAGGATTATGGATGGCAATAAGTTATGATGACTTAAAATATCACAAGAGATTACTGATTCACAGCCAAGAGCCATGTAGCTAGTCAGGGACATGGGACAATGTCTGGGATGGCTCTGGTTGTCACAGCCGGAGGCTGCCACTGGCTGCCACCTGCTGGGTAGAGGTGAAGCTGAGGCTAACAGCTTGCACCTCAGAAGGCTGGTGATCACAGTAGCAACCAGCCCACGGGAAGGCTCGAAGACCCTGCACAGATGCTCAGCTCTAGGTCCCATGCAGGAGTTCACTTACACCTCTGGATCAAGTTTGCTGGTGTCTGAGAACCGAGACCAGGGAGTGCAGCGGGCGGGAGGTGGGGGAGATCATTAGGTGAGCAGAAGTTGCTCTCATTTCTAAAACAGTACTCTTGCCATCAGTCATTCATATCAGGACCTATTTCTTGCTCTCTGCTTCCCACATCCTTACACACACACACACACACACACACACACACACACACACACATTTGGTCAGTAAGTCACAGAATATAGACTCTAATAAGAAATTATCTTTTCTGAGTAAATATAAAATCATCTCGAGACTCCCAGTTAATGAAATCATTGCTCTAACCTGGAATGCCACTGAACCTTTATCTGTACTGTGGGAGACTCCCAGGCTTCCATAAATGGTGTCACCAGAGACACCGCATGTCTCCCTCCTGCCTCTTCCACAGGTCAAGGGTGGGCACAGACTGGCAGCCTTCCTGGGTCTCTGGCAGGGCCTGTGGTGTGGAGGTCGCAGCCCCATGACCACACTGCCTACACGGCCGATGCCCCAAAAGACTGCAGACAGGAACCCACATCTTCATTTATGATATCTTGGAAGACAATATTTTCTTGACATTTGCATCTCTTCACAGGAAAAAGAAGATTATATTGTAATGTGACTAGAAAACATTCAAGTTCATTTTTTTCCAGGGTGACACTCTGAATACTGACTTCTTACAGACAGGAAATGAGTCTAGTTCGTTTCTCACTGCTGGTAGGGATGGGTTGTCAGTTTTAACTAGCTGCCTTAGCAACACTATGTTCAGTTTATAACTATTGAGCAAGATCCAAGGAATAAAGAAAACACGAGGTATCCTTTTCCTTGATGGCTTTCCTTAACATACCCTTGAGAAATACAAAAATCATGGCCCTAGCCAATGGACTTCAATGATTGTTTCATAAAGTCATATTCAAGAGCTATGTTGATAAAAATTATGATGGCGAGAAAAGAAGCTCAGCAAAAGAGGAGGGAGGGGAGGCACAGTCTATGCCTGGTTCTGTAAGAAGGGCAAGGAGCCCCTGTCAGGTCTCACACTGCCTGGGCTGCCGCTCTGGACCAGACCGCTCTGGACCAGACCGGAGCCTTAGCACCTGTGGCTTGCCTTTGCTCCCAGCCCTGACACCCTGCTGCCTTGCCTCACACATTCCTAAACGCTGACCTTGACCTTTCCCTCTTGACTCCTTCCAGGTTCTGCCTCTGTCCAAGGTGGGGTAAGTGCTCCTGCTTGGTGTGTTATTTAGGGAGTCTGTGGTTGGTGTGGAATGCACCTCACTCGGCACGGCCTGCACACAGCAGGCACCACCTTGTGGTGGGGTGGTGGCTACAAGCTGACTCCCTGTGTGGGGATGGAGGCCCAGGTCTGGACATGATCCCCCATCTCAGGAGCCCACATGGAGCAACTATGTGGAGAGCTGAGTCCTGCCCGGATTTACCCCCTAGGCTTGCAGAAGCCCAGGTAGTTCACAAACTGCCATGATCAACACTGGAGGCAAAGCCAGCACTTCCAGTTCTGGCCTCACACCTCTCAGAACTTTGGAAAGCAAGGCCCTCTCAGCTTCTACCTTCCCCTATACTGAGGTCGGCCCAGACAGTGCAGGGGCCATCATTCTGAGCCGGCCCAAACCCTGTACCCTGCTAAGGAGAATGTCGGAGTTTGGGTCAAGGTCAAGGTCTCTGTAATAGAACTTCAGAACTCAAGATGAAAATATGCTCTCTGAAGCTATAGTTCATGCAATTTAAGTTCGCTTAAATTGAATTTATAATTAGTTGAGTGGGATGCACCCTAAACTTTATATAACCACAAATTTATCGATGTTGTGATAGTGTTAGCGGTAAACTAAAAATACAGTACCTATAAGCAGACTGTTAATTCAGTAAAGGCTCAGTATCAGGTTGCTGATTTTAAAATGCTCTGCCTTACCCTGCTGACATTGTTTTGGAGGAAGCAATCAGTCACTTAGTGCTAGAACTAAGGAAAAAAAAAAAAAAAAAAGAACAAGCATCCAAGCAAATATAAACAAAATTGCCATGAAAGTATCTTTGATAATAATTGTTAGGAAAGGTTCCATCTCTCCTGACTGTCAAAGACTACACTTATTTGCTTCTGTATCTTTTCTGCAATTCTTCACTTTAAAATGTCAGGGCAAAAAAAAAAAAAAAAATGTCAGGGCTAATATTCATAGCACATCAATTCATAAAACGTGGCCTGCTCTGTTGGCTTCTTGCATACCAGGGAAAATATTGACAATAAGACCTTGCCTGAAAGAGCCACTAAAAAGAAACTTCATAAATTTCTCAAAAAAAAAAAAAAGAAAGAAAGAAAGAAAGAAAGAAAGAAAGAAAGAAAGAAAGAAAATATGCTCTCTGATCTGGAATGATCTCGAAACTAGAAGGGTAATTACACTTGAAAACTAGAGATGGCTCAGGAAAATGTGCTCTACCATGGAGAATACCTCCCTCTTATTTATGCGCAGGAAGCCAAAGCCAGATTTGTAAAAAACCCAGGTGAGAACTCCCAGCCTGCCAGTCCTCATCCTGGTAGCTTAGGATCCATTTCCCAATTTATAAAACAAGACAGCAATATCACATTTATGAAATATGTAAGCAATCAAATGACTGTGGCCTCATATGGCAGTTTAAATCTGCATGCAGCAAGGGCTAAGAGGAACTTTCTCCTCATAACTATGTGGATGAAATTCCATAAATTCCACAAAAGGTAATAAGACATATACTGAAATCCAAAATAAATTTCTGAAAAA